CTGCCGGTTTTTTACCGTAAATTTTACAGATTTTTTTTACAGTGTAAAATAAGAACAGTAAGGTGCATTTACATAAATTTGAAAGGTTTCATAATATATTTAACCTTCAGAAGTGGGTTTTCACAGCAATGCCACAGAAGAACCATTTTTGGTTCCTCAAAGAAGCAAACAGTTCTTTAAAAGAACCACTTTTCTTAGTATTAGGAACTTTTTAAGAACCTTTTTCCACTGTTTGTGGAATGGAAAGGTCATCAACACCAACAAAATACCTTCATTTTTAATAGTGTATAGTTAAAATTGTGTTAATAATATCACTACAATGTCACATCGCTGAGCACTGCATCTTATTCACAGGTAAAACAGGTATCATGTTCTACATAAGGTTCAGTTTTCCATTCATCCAGCAGAATAAAAGAAGTCTCTGACAGTTCAGGACTGGCTGAAGTATTCAGAGAAAAGTGTGAAAAACGACCTCAGTTTGATCAAAATTCAATCAAAAAAAAATTATTTGACATTTTTCTCGATTCCATTTTTGGCACAGTTCTGTGCAAAATAATATTTTTTATAATTATTTTGATTTTTCAATTAAGTTTCTACTCATACAATTTTATTATAGTTTGTATAGTTTATTATTATTATTTATTATTTTTAAATATTTAAATAGAAATTGTTATATTCTTATTTTACCGCCTACTAGTAAGATGCAAGTGACTAGTCAGTCTTCTCAACCAGAAATAATCTGCAAGTCGTTAGATAGATGTAATAATTAAATGCTAAATTATTATAAATGCAACTTATTGTTAAGACAAAAATGCATGCATCATGCGTGTGTACAGTTTGTAAATTACAAAAAATTCACTTGCATGTTCATCATATAAATGATCATGTGCTATATAAACCAGAACGGTTTTCACTGGCTGCATCAGGTTTCCATTCATCCAGCAGAATGAAATAAGATTGTGACAGTTAATGTGCTCCACAGTTTTAGTCAAACAACCCGATCATCCCGTGAGTCCCTCCGCGAACAGCACCCCGCCGAGCGGCTAATGACCGAGGCGCATAATCCTCCTCAAAACAAGCGCAAAGATGCTAATTCAATCTCCCTATAAATAGGCTTGACTTCTGCCGCTCCTCCTTTACTAGAACTGGAAGACACCGCCGTTCCGCGATTCCCCCCAGATCCTACCGGGAAGTCGGTCGCTTTAGAGGTGCATTATATAACAGGTGTATCCTGGAGGGATTGTAAAGCGAAACTTGCGCGCAATGGTGATATAAACAGACGCGCCAAACGCAACCCTAAAACCCAGCCATGTTTCCTCTGCCGCTGTTCACACCTGAGCAGGTGGCTCGAGTCTGCGAGAATCTGGAGGAGACTGGAGATATGGAGCGCTTGGGTCGCTTCCTCTGGTCGCTGCCCGCCGCGGTGCCCGGTTCCGCCGGAGAGCTGCTCAACCGGCAGGGTTAATGTTCTTACCCAACATGCTGGGTTGTTTTATTTAAGTCAACTATTGTTTAAAAATGTTTATATTGCTGGCTTAAAATGGGCTGGAAAGAAGACGCATTGCTTTAAGTTGAGACACATGCAAAAGTTCATTGTGCACTCTCAGGAGAATCTGTGAGTGCATGGGGCCCAGTGTTGGGGAATAACTAAAAAATGAAGTCAGTAGCTACAGTACACTCTGAAAAATGCTGGGTTAAATATAACCCAGTGCTGGGTTATATTTAACTACAAAATTTAGCTACAAAAGTGCTTTTGAAAAGTTACCCCACCAGTGACAGATTTTGTACCATTTTTTCTGAGAATGTAAAGTTATAAAGACTGAAGGAAGGATATTTTGATACATGCTCACTTATTACGACTACTTGCCACATTTTAAATTCATATTGGTCATAAAAGCTTTGAAACCGCACAGATGGAAAGATGAGGGTTGTGCAGTGACCATAAATCCAAACTCCCTCATATTTTATCTTCTTTGAAGTTACAATGCTCTCAAACATATCCATCAGCCTTTAAACAGTAAGAACTTTCCGCTCCTAACTCATGCATTTCAATTACATATTTATTCTTCTAAAGAAATTCATATGCACAAAATATATTGGTCTACAAAACTAATTTCAAGTATCGACTCAAACCTTCTGAAATATAAATTCAAACTTTTGATTGATAGTGTAAGCTGACTTAATTATTTAACCTAGAAACTATTTCTACACAGATATTTCTAAGCCAGTAAATCAGTCAGTTCAGAAAACAAGCTAGTCAATGGATACGTTTTATTTTCAGAATGACTTTATAGAAATTATATCATATTTGTAATAGTGAATTTAGTGTAAATATTATGAAAAAAATTACAAAATCAATATCTGCTGACCAACTAGAACACGCACACTCACACACGCACGCACGCACACACACACACACACACACTCTCACACACACAC